GTATATGTATACGTATATGTATATCTTTGTTCAGACGCTGCATAGAGGATCTTTGCATCGCGCGGTTGTTGTGACAGGGAACCAGCCCGGCTCTTTGAGCCTTGTTTCACAGGTCGGAAGAGCATCTACATCAAGGGCACCGCATCACGGTGCGAATATTGCTGTACCTGGCACGGATGCCCCGTCGTACAGCATCCAGGATGTATGGCGGTGATAGCACTGGAAGCAACCATGTCAATCTCTGGTGACGTCAGCCGCAGTGTCAGAAGTCGCACGTCTGTCGAACAGGACGTAAATCGTGTGACAGTGATCTGGGGAGATCGATTCATGGAAAGTGGCATCTTTTCCATCATCGCAGTGCAAGTTGACAGATCTTTGCGAAGCGGAGCTAGCAACATCTAGGAGAAGGGCTCTATCGGCTATCGTGCCCGGAAGTGGGCGGAATGAATTGGTAGTGGCACAGGTAAGTACCGATCGCTTGCATCCCGCAAGAATCATGATGATGACGAAAGCACGGCAGAGCAATCCGGGGGTCGGGGATGACAGTGGTATCATCCTTCCCCCCCTGCCAGGGTTCATCAGCTATGCCAGCGGTGCTGTCCACATAGTTTGCGCACCTTCGGCTGAGAGTGCCACAGATTGATTAGGCGCGGCACCGTTAGGCGACCTGCTGGCGGCGGAGCAGACTGAGAGAGCGGCACAGAGCCATGTCTCCCCGGTCCCCCCGCAGTCACGGACCTCACACGGTTGGTCCGGTGATTCCCTGGAGAGGATTCGGCTTCACACACGCAAGTCGTACAACACTGGTTGGAAGGAGTGAGCCGCCGCCCTTGCTGGGATGCACCGGTGGGCCGTGCACAAATTCCCGGTAACCCCAAGATGTTATCCTGGCTCAAAGCCTACCTGGAGGGCCAGCCGCCGAGAAAGCCACCATCTGGAATGTTTCGTCAAGAGAACTGTGAGGGAATGACCTTGATTTATTCAAGGATGGTCACAAGTGCTCCGCCCACGAGGCCAACTCAGTTAAGGGCGGACTCTAAGGGGGACCAGTTTGAGAGAGGGCAAGTTCGGCTTCAACATGCTATCGGGAAGGGGGTTTTGCTCCGTTACGGCCTTTGGGGAGCACGCACGCCTCAACTCACACTGGGTTCTTGACCCTAGCACTCCTGTTTGCGCCTGGCAAGGGATGGGTATCTTCAAACACGGGACTTCGGAAGTCCTGGCACACTGCCCACTTGGTCGCGTCCCACAGCCTCCGAAAAGGAAGCACCACAGCCATGCTAGCTGTAAGTAGCGATGTCAAAACTGTAAGGCACGTTGGAGGATGGAAGTCCGACACTGTCCACGCATATTTGTGCATTGATCTTGCTGCTGCGCCTGGTAGGTCACGTGGCATGCTCACCTCCTGACCTGTTCTGCAACCCCAGCAACATGTGCGAGGCCTCTCAGCCCATTGCTCAGCATGGCTTAACTTGGTGACGCCCCGTGCTGCTGGAATGGGCCGGAGCCAACTTCGTGATTGGATTCGGCAGCGCCCGGCATCTGAGCACGGGTAAGCGGAGGAGGGCCAAGGTGAGCTGCCAGCGCTGTATGGAACGGGAAGAGCTGCTGACAGTGGCTGCAGCAAGGCACGCGTTGTCGAAAGCAAAGGTTTTGCAGGATCGGGTCCGGCTGAGGGCTCGCCAGGGGCGACAAAGTGTTTAGCCTGCTCGCAAGGGCATTCATCAACTCCATCATCCTGGACGTCAGCTGAGCGACAGTAAGCTTGTTTGGTTTGGGTTCTCGGCCCTTCCCGGCCCCGAGACTGCCGTGACACATCCGACATAGCCCGAACGACCTGGGCGCAATCAATGCTTCCGGCTCCTGAGCCCGGTCCTTCGACTGTCTCACCACATCCGAAGCTAACGGGGGAACCGAGAGTTCCATCTGAAAGTGACGACAAAGTCGGCTACTGACAGGTCAGACCACTCGCCTGTCGCTCCCGGAGCGATCGGGGGTGCTGAGATGGCCAGAGAAGGGGCTGTTCCGTTGGCTTCCCCGGCTTGGTGCCCAATCTCCACCTCGCTGGCTGCGAGGAAGCCCTCCGGCATGCAAAGCAAGAAGCCAGACGCCCGCTTCACATTGCTGCGGCTCCTGGTCTTCAACGAGGACTGGCCAACTGAACTCAACAATTTCAACCTGACCTGAGTCTGCAGGGAGAAGGGAAGCCAAATCCATATCACCGGGTCGCGACAACACCGAAATCCAGACCTGCACCCGAGAGAAAAACACAGGGCAGGGCCGACCAGCCTCCGGAAAGTGGACAAAAAATTCAGCAAGCTACGCACACTTTCACGGGAGGAGAGCCGTCACAAGGCGACACATGAATCTGGGTTCAAGTGCTTGGCGCTCCTCGCACTCAGAGGACCAGATCGGCCCAGCAAAGGGTACTCGGGCACTGCAGAAGCTGAGGACTGATAAGCACGACTGAAGAAGCTCTGGCCTACGCCTGCAACAGGTTAGGGGAAGCCGGCCCGCCGAGGGTTTGCTCTGCAGAAGATCGAGGCACCTCCGGCATCACCTAAAACCCAGAAAAGGATCCAGCCGGGAAAGGAACGGGGGTTGCGGAGGACCGAGACCCTACCCTAAGACTCTGAAGCCTAAGTGACAACCCTTGCTCCCAAAGCTGAACCCAGTGTACCTCCAACCCGTAAACCAGCCAGCAGCGATCCCAAAGAAGCCCTCGTACAATAGAAAGGGCAGCCGAGCCCAAACAGCTTTGAAGTGGCTCCGGCGTGAAGGAACCTCAGCAAATCAGCAGCCGAAGCGGCGCCCATGCACTAAACTGTCAGCTTGAAATTTTGAGAGTGAATGCATCTATCGTTGGAGTCGCTTCTATTGTGGGGTGTCTGTTTATCTGTCTATCTATTTGTCTATCTATCTACCGAAATTCGTTCTCACGTACAGCTGGGCATGCCTCTCTGCATGTCCATCTGCCAATCGTGGCCGCATGTCCACGGGCCATGTTCTTGCTGAGGTTCAGTAAGGATAAGTCAGGGTAAGTGAAGAAGGTCTGAAATTCATGCATGATCCTCCTCGTCCGGCCTCCCCAAACAAGAGGGTGCCCCAGAGCAGGCTCACAGCGAGTCCTCCACCCACGATCAAGCAGTATGCAACTGCATACCTCCGTCACAGGGCACATCTGAGCTTTGAACCCTCTCATGAAGCAAGCAATCTGCTTTCCCATACTCTACAAAGCACAGCAAAGAGTAGTCTTGAACCACCAGGATTACAAGATGGCAATGCATCGGGATTGTCTCAACCATTGTTCGACAGCGTGCAACCTAGTCCCGTGCGGTAGTCTCTCTTCGTCTACCCCTCCGCTGCACCAGTTGACAGACCGGGTCGGTTGAAACCAGGGTGCGGCAGCTGCGTCATGGCGTAGAGCTGAAAGTAAGAGGCCCTCGGGTAGAATCGGATAGAAAGCACGTGCGGCTTCGACATCTCGAAGAACCGGAGCACAACAGCAGAGCGTCCCGCAGTCTTTACTCTTCTGTTGCGCCCGCTTGGGCAGTGACAGAAGCCGCGTACTGATCGGACCACAAAAATGATCACAACCTGCTCCAACTGCCTCGCAGCAGCATTCCTGTGGGGTCCTAGACAACAAACGACAACAGCTTTTTGCCCGACTTCCCGAAACACATCGAGACACCGATTGACAACGACCGTTTTGGATTGTCATAAGATCTGCCAGGCTCCTTGCTCATTGGGCCATCCGATATCTCGCGCAGCAAAGACCGTGCCGCAGCATTCGTGTATTTTTGGTAAGGTGAATTGCTCGGCAAAACAGCAAACTCATGTCATGTCATATGCGATGTGACAGTACGGCTGCCACCAGCTTCCCATCAGGAGATAGTGCGAGCAAAAGCCAGCAATATAGACATGCCGGCAAACCGCAAAGCTTCGACCGACACTGCATCGGCCCATCGCCATCGGACTGCTTGAAGAAGCAAAGCACAGAGGAGTTCAGGCCAGGTCGCAGGGTCCACATGACCCCGGCCAGCAGCGCAGGCCGCAGAACCGGCTTCTGCAGGGGCTGCCGCGTGAGCCTTCGGCATGCCGGGTTTGGGGTGTGGTTCTATCGCAGCCTTGGCCTTGATCCGTTGCTTTTCTGCCAGTGTCAGCACAACACCCTGCTCCACTTCCGTCGCAAAAACAAACAACAAGAATTCAAACTATCACCGAATCCGAGACCAACAGGAAGTATCCCGAATCAGTGATTTTCGAGATACAAGTACATATACAGTCCGCACGAAAGCTTAGTTGCGACTCCAGACACCGTATGATTGAATGTTGAAGCGAAGTCACCGGCATTTGGGAGGCCAAGGCCCAAGACCTAACGACCTAACGCTTCACCGAGCCTCTTCCAGCCGCCTGCGATGAGCAGGTAGGCCGTGGAGCAGAGAAAAATGCCTCCGCCGCTATGGTTTCGGGCCTTTGGGGATCCTGATGGGGCAAACTGTGGCAAATCGCTTTAGCGCTTGAAAGAGGGCTCTTGTGCAGGCCGATCAATTCCTTGCTCGACATTCCCAACTGGATGCACAAGGACGGCTGCGAATCCAAGCAGCAGCGTGGGACTTGACGACTACGCTGAGCCATTCAACTGCCGTCAAAGCTTGCAGGAGCTTACGTAGGCTCAGCGCACGTACAGAACATTCCAAACATTACAGTTGAGCCTAGGCAGTTGGAGAAGGCGTAGTCCACCCCGGATGGCTTGAAGCCGCGCGCTTCAAGGCTTTGCCTGCCCAGGTCTCAGGATCTCAGGATACCTTTGGCATACCCAATGCTGAAAAAACACTGAACTCCCAAAAGCGCCGTGCGAGTGGCTGGTCATGGTTGGTCACTTGAGGATGTGGCACCTGTCCTTCAAGGTCAGTGGAAAGAAAGCCTTCGACCCCAATCCAGGAAAACTGAGAGGTACAAGTAGGACACTGGTAGCACGGATACTGCTGTGCTTGTGCCACTGATCGGGACTGTGCACTGCGAGAACCTGCCAGTGGCTGGGGCAGAAGTTTTCACCCGCCAACTCCCCAAGCAAGGCCACCCCGCTCTGCCTGAGCATGGAAGGCTCTAGACCGTCCACAGAAGAATTGAAACACAACCGGCACCGCGAGAACACGCGGTCCATTTCACAACGTCCACCGAAAAAGCCCGTTTCTGTCAACATATCCTTCTTTCGGTAACGTCTCAAAGCAGAGTACTGGCGCGCTCGACTCGTGAACATTGGATGCGCGAAACTCCTAGAGTCCTAGATGGACTCCACCAAACATGAATCTGGGCGGCATGCCCTGAATCGAAGGGAAGCTTTCGGAGTTTAGGGTTTAGTCCAAGACCAACAAAACCTTTTGTTGAACCTGCAGCTCTCTTTTGCAAAGCCTACAGTCCCAAACCCCGAATGTTGGGTTGAGCTTGAGGGGTCAACAAGGCCATCTAAAACAGGGACCCATACCCGTGGGCCCACAAACCAGTGCGTGCATCTCAGGTGCTTCCACGGCAGCATGGGCTCGTATTGAAGAGATAACACCAATCCGGTGACCTGGGTCGGCTGGCTGCGGGACAACTTCGAAAATGCATGGTGGTGTTGCAAACAGAGCGCGAAAAGCCGATACTCACAAAGTCGAAGCTGGAACCTGGAAAGCATGCTCTCCGCCCTCACGAGTGTCCCAGGTCTCCGACCAGAGACAGCAGCCAGCCTTTGAGCCAGGCCCGGCCCGCGCTTGGAACCGGCTCGGCCTCCTTGGCCCCGGACTTCCCAACTGTCTGCATGGCTGTGAACCTAAACCCTTCGAAGAGCAGCCCGGCCTCGACGATGGGCGACGCGGCGATGGGCAGTCCACCGGAGCAGCCGAGGCTGTCGAGCCTCGGAGGCGGGGCCCACCTAGGCCTGACCATGTAATCCCAGGTCATCGGCTAAAAAGCTCCACCTCAGAATCCCAATTCCTCAAGTCCAGGAAACTTCAGCGGGTCCGATGCAAATCGGAGTCGTCGCAGCTGTTGGACATCGGGTCGTCCTATGGTGCCTTTCAGCTCAGGCAGCTGCTTCGATCGTCTCGCACCCGTCTCACAGCTTCTCACTCTTCAACTAGTGGAGCTCATGGGCGAAGCGATGGGAGCGGGGAGACAAGTCCCGAACCGTCCCAAGTCAGCGCATTGGCTGCAGCAAAGGACTCTTGGGCCACCTGGAGGACCTGCAGTGCTCACTGCGCTTCGCAGGAAAATCCAGCTGCTTCGAGCGGAGCCTCCGGAAGGGTCCAGGTGTGGTTCGGAGACGTCGAGCCGGAGCCTGTTCGGGGACATGTCCAAGCTCATCATCGGACACCTCCAGGCTCCAACTCAAAACCTTGGTTCCGATAGTGTAGGAAGTAGACCCTTGGATTCTAGTTCGGCACATTAAAACCGCTGAATGTTGGCGCAAGCTATCTTAGCAGGTCACAGCCCACAGGCAGGCGGTGGCCTTCCTGCAGCTCTTGTCGGAAAAGCGTCTCCAAACCTTGCGGCTGCGTTCACCCTCCCGATTTCCGCTCCAGCACAGGAGACCGGCACGGGAGCACCCGAACCGCGAGATAACCAACGTGTGGCTTTGCTGCTTCGCGCCACTCCTCATGAGTGTGCAGTTCGCGTCGTGCCGTCGCATGCAAACAGTCAAACAGCATGATCTCGCAGAAAGCACAAGCCTGGTTGCCTCTCTGGACAGCGAATCTAAACGCAGGAGTTTGAGCCCCCGCACTCGTTGTCTCCGTCGGCGGGCTGGCAGCGGAATTGGAGGAGGCCTCCTTTTTGTCGCCTCACTGCACAATCTCCAGGGCACACTGGCTTGATTGAGCCGATGCCCTTCAATCAAGATCATTGCCCTGTCTTTGTCTCAAGTTCGTGAGAACTATGAGAACTGCCACAGATCGAATGCATACAGTGGATTCCCCTGTTCCTGCATTCCTTGACAGAAACAAGTGCCACACATTGCGACAGAGCCAAAAAACAGCGACATCAACATCATCACCATCATCATCCCTGCATGCACATGTACATGAAATTGGCTCGCTCTAGAGGCCAAGAAAGTCCAGCTCCTTTCTGCCTCTTTACCACGCCCGGGCCCCCTGCGCATGAAGACGACGGGGATCCTCAGGACAGCCAAGGCCAAGGGACGAGATGGAAACGCTACGCGGCTGCTCGAAACTCAAGCCGTGGAACCTTTGTGAAATCCCAACCCGCTGCGACCAGCTGACAATTGTCCTACATATCGACAACGAAAACGCTGTTTTGGTGCAACACGTGCACTGCACAACCGCCGGAGCCGTTGAGCGGGCGGTTGTAGAGCAATGTGCGAGGTCCGCTTTACTCTATACAGGTAAGAACTGCATCATGATGCTTCACGAAGTTGTGGACACATGTGGACACCAAATCCGGGCACAAGTGCTGCCCAGCAGCATGCCAAGGAAGACGCAGATGAAGCCGAGGCCAGCGAGCCACTCCACACGTGGCGGCCTACCAGAGCTGTCCCCGCATGCTGATTCAACCCAATGATTCGAACATCGAAACAGAAAGACTCTCAACTCGGTGGAATGCTCAACCTAAGCCGGACAGGCCAGAGGGCACGTTTCCGGACCCACGACGCCGCTCCAGCGCATCCCGCCGAGTAGCAAGACCCTCGCCTTCAAAACCCGGGTGCCAACGGGTCACCGAGCAGATTTGGTGTTGAAGATGCCAGGAATGTGATGACACCGCGCTACACGCCGCTGCACCACCAAATCGCAGACGGAAACATACTCCCCCTTCCACTTAATTAGCTGGAAGAGAGACGACAGCAGAAGACACACGTGGACTGTGGCCTCCATGCGGCACCAGACTGCAGACATCTGCAGACTGCCGCAAGCCAAGCAAGAGAAATCCGACCGGCCGTCTGGCATCTGAACTGCATACGGCTTGGGAGGGTCACGAGGCCTGTGTCAACATCACTACACCAAAAGCCATGAGCACGGAACATCCATGTGAAGGGCCGCTCAGGCGTTGTTTCTTTGAGTGCAGGCGACCACGCTCTCGCGGAGGCCATCGGTGACTCGTGACAAGGCTTTGTTTGGGACTGAAACGGAATGCAGAATCATGCACAATTAAGAGGCACAGGTCTGCCCGCTTTTACGCGTCGACACCTGTTCTTGTTCTTCTTGCGAACCGGATCCTTGGCCTGTTGTGCTAGCTGCAGCCTTCATCAGGTCTCAGGAAGCTTCTGGTGAAACTGCCATGAAATCCCCCCATTTATACTGCTTTGCAGTTACGGATTTCTGTAGGTCTGCGCCCATCGACATTCTACGCGTAGAAACACTTGTTCTGGCCAACGGGAAGTGTTGCTGGCTGATGCTCCAGTGCGCCTGTAGTGCCTGCCTTGCGATGAAAATGCTTCATGAACGGCCAAGGGGGGTTGGTATCCCTGGTACCTAACAACACTAAGAGCACGAGGCATCAGCAACGACTCAAGGCAAACACAGCCGTCATCGGTGCCACCCTTCTGCAGCCCAGCCATGTATCACAGCGCTGTGGAAGACCATAGCGGAGCAAAGGAGACAGGAAATACAGAAACACCGCACTGTCCCCGACGCACCGGGTGGGAGGTGCTCATCGAGTCTCCCCCTTGAGTCGAAGAGTAGATTTCAAAACCTGTCAGTTACCGTTTCTCTGTCAGTTGCCGTTGTTGGAAAACCTTTAACGAGCTCTCGTCCTCACATCCACCTGGGCAAACACTTGGGGAATCCGTTAAGTTCCGCTGCGCGATAATCTGGGTGAGCACTTTGCCCCACAGACTCTTGTACTCGGGCATCCTAGCAAATGGCAGCCGCCCGTCGCGATAGGGGATGTTCGTGTTCCTGGCTTAGGATGTATCTGCCCATCGTGCAAGTTATGCAATACAACAAGCAACCTCAAGCAGTTTCGATCAGTTTTTTGCATGCAGACTATCCAGGTCTCTCTGAACTGTGCCCTCAACAGACGATATACAAGTATCCATGCATGCACTGCAGCGGTCGACCCACGTGTGCCTTGCCGGAATACCCAGGCTGGGTCCGAAGACACCGATGACAAAGGTGCCGAATAGGTTGGTCAACTCGTGCCTTGGGTCCAGTCTCACAGCATGTCCACCCTTTTGAAGAAATGGAGTGCTTGAGAAGCTGCAAGCAGGAATGCTGGACTCGCGGCGGAAGCATCAACTGCAGAAGCAGCATCTTCGCAAAGCGAAACAACGAAATGACATGTTGGTGGGAATCCTGTTCTTGTACTGAACTCAGGTGCCTGCCATATGTAGTAGTTGCCGATGCCGAAGTACTGGACAGCCCTGTGACTTCCAGGGGTTCTCAACATGACCTGAAGTTTAGCCTGGTAGCTCTTCCAAGCTAACACTTGAAAGGGCGTCTGTACCATCTCTGGGAAACAGTATACACAAGACCACCTCAAAGCCAGCAAGAATTAACAGCCTTAGTGCATTGCTGGTGCAATATCGGCCACCTCGTAGCCCAGACATTGGCCACGGACCACAGCAGGCCAGACAATCTGGGCTTGGTGTCGCAGGAGTGCGTCACACCGGCAGGTTCTCAACAGTTTTACATCAACATAAGGAGTCGAGCTTGCCTGGTGGAGACCCTGGGTTTAAGTGGGGTTTCCTGCTGAGTACTGTAGACTCATTTACGACCACGGTGCGGACTTAGGCATGCAAGTAACACAGTGGCAACTGGTAGCAAGAGGACAGACTGAACTGATGGCAGGACGAAGTTCTGGCAGGAGTCAAGTGGTATGACGCCGCAAGCGAGACGAATGGCATACTGACGGGAGGATTTGTAGTTCGATACCAATGACAGAAGTGACGGGAGTGCCAGCCAACGATGGATAGCAACAGTCTAGACAAATATGATTACCCTTGAGAAAGACTAAACAAAACAATAGGTCACCTCCTCGCCGTAGTGTCGACGGGCAAACGGGCAAGTGGTCGGGAATTGAAGTGATGCGCTACATCTGATCCAAATCGAAAGGGACCTCCAATTCATTTCATCGTTTCCGTGACTTGCAGTTCCTTTCGGCTGCTAAAGTGACAAGGGCGCACCAAGCGGCGCTCAAGGAAGGTACGAGATAAAAGCTCTCCGAGCTATCAAGTCTCGTAGGGTTCAGCGGACAACTTCTCGGTTGCGGGTTGTGCTTAAAGTTGTCCCTCAAACTTCCGCGTCTTGCACGCGGGCTGCTCGATGTTATCAGGACAATGGACTTTGCTTGGACAACCTTCGATACTATGGTGTGGTACAGCCGAGTCGACAGGTACGACGAGCTAATGCAGTCTGCGTTAGAATCATGGCAGGGCTGAGATAGGTTGTCTGCACGAATTACACTTCAAGCATCCACCTGCCCAGTACGGCAACACATGTCTGACACATGTGATGCAATCTGCCGAGACGTGTCTTGCTGAGATGACACGAAGACATCTCGGAGACCTTGAACTGATTGCTACATGCAACTTCGACGACCGGATCTATAAGAACCTATAATTTCCTCTAGTACATGCTGAAGAAATCCTCCTGCAAGTTTGTCTTATCAGTGAGCACTGATCAAAGAATAGTGAGGCGACACCCAGTGCGCAGGCTCCTGTGTTGCTCTTTACAAGGACCAGGCATGAATTGGAACTCGACTAAACTTAAACGTTTCTGAGCCAATAATTTCCGTCCACGGAGTCACCAGCGGCAAGAAGTGACAGAACCTGACATGAAGCCGAAAATCCCAACCGTCCGACTGCAGTAATCCGAAGACGAGCAGCAGGCCATGGGGAGCAACGTAGAAGGCGCTGCTACTCATGCCTCGGAAGCTTCAAGCAGCAACACATATTGCTCTGCAGTCGTTCGTCCAACTTTGCCAGTTGCCCGCATACACCGGCCCGTCCCTAAAAAATCCGCCCTCCCAGAGAAATCATCCCACCCGATGAAACAAGTAACGCTCACATGCAAGGATTTCATGTGACGACCGCGTGACATCGAAGAGGACGAAGAACACAACGACTCTACTAATACTACTAGTACTCCTACTACTCCTACCTACTACTGCTACTACTCCTACTACTGCTACTACTCTACTACTCCTGACACTCCTACGACTCTTGCGACTCCTACAACTACTGCATCGAGGGCTTTGCTGACTTACAGGTTTTCGTCCAAGGCTCAGGCCACACTGCATTCCGAACAGGCTGTGAACGATGCAAACAGCTGCTGGAGTTGAAGCCCAAGTTCGCCAAATGCATCCGCGGTGCTTTCGGCCTGCCAATCATTTCGGGCCTAGGTCCAAGTTAGCTCTCTGCCACAAAGGCCTCAAAGCTCAAAAGCCGTACGCTACGAAGTGAAGACATTAGCAAAGACAGGTTGCAACACGCACTCACTTCAAGCCACGACAGTGAAAGCCGACAGCCTTCGAAGGCTTAACTGCAAGCCTTGTATTCAAGAAATGCTTGAGGACAAGCAAAATGCGTGTTGCTGAGGCCTACAAGCCTGCCGCTGCAATGCCAAGCGTGAAGCAGAATACAGTAGCCCTGAATGAATCGCGAGACCCCGCACATCCACAGCCTGAGTGCACTACAATCCCTCTGATCCTTTCTCTGTGCTGCCGACCACTGCCGCCACCAGTGCACCAATCAGAATCCCACAGCAGAAGAACCACTGATAGACCAGACCTTGCAGGGTGCTTCCATGCCCGTGGAAAGACCACTTTGAGCAGCACTTTCCCTGTCCGAAAGTGTTACACACAAGTTTTCTGCTGGTGGAGGACCTCGAGAGAAGCTAGGTTCGAGAAGATCGTGGCTAGGCACATGAACGCACTGCAATGTTGGTCGAGGTCGAACCACGACGAGGCGCTTCTGTCATGAAAATTTGTGTGGCGAAGCTCCAGCCCTTACCATGATCTGCCTGTGCGACATTGCAGCCTTGGTCAATGTGATGTGGCCTTGCGACACGAACACCTGAGCACGAGGCCGTCGTACACGTCGTACTTCCTAACCTTGGTTGACCGCCGCAGCCCGTCGGCCGCAGCCCACCGAAGAGCTGGTGCTTCCCAGTTGCAAAGACCGTCAAAAGCTGGAAAGTGTCCGCATCTCCCTCAATACGGGTCCCTGGCCGGCTTCCTCGCATGCCCCGGTGCAGGAACCCACTGAACTTTGCAAGCCGCGCAGCCGGAACATAGTAGCTTCCGTACCCGATTGCCGCAGCTGCAACCTTCTCCACTTTTTAGCACCGTGCATGCGGGACCACTACGACTCTGAGAGAAGCGTAAACCATGTCATAACAAGTACAGTTTCAGCTACAACCTACATTCAGCAAAGCTTCTTGGTCGACCCAGACCATTCTTCATAAAAGCAGAATGCTCGCGCACGTGCACAATTGGATTGCAAGTCTTAGCAGTGCAGGATGTGTGATGTAAGATGTCAGACTTACCTTCAAGAACTCATGTAAAAAACTATCTCCGCTGCACACTGAAGCGGATTTCTGGACTGCATGATGTCCACGATGCCGACATCATGTCAACATGGTGCATCTGCAACTTGACCAGTGTTAACCGAGGCTTGCAGCTCGGAAACTGAAATCATCACACAAGATCTGCTACAGGCCGCCCTCGACAGGCACCCAGGTTAAGAAGATTGCCGCCAGCAAAATCGCAATAATTTTATCTCACACTTGCAACACCTATGTCATGATACGAGGAAAATCTTAATCAGTTGTGGTAAGACTTGCAGGTCGGCAAATTCTTATCGGCGATGCTTTCGGGTGCTGCCAACCAGGAAGCTTCTGCAAACTAGATGTTGACGTGTTTGGGGTTGCTTGTATAAACTGCTTTGGATGGCGCTGCCTTGCGCTCCACCTGCGCAACTTGGAGACCAATACTCCAGATCCGCAACATCACACCAAAATGCCCGAGATGCACTGTTAATGCTTGCATCGATTGTGGTAGCTGCGACTGAACCTGACCATCCAAAAGCATCACCCCGGTGTTGCCGCCAGAAGACCGCAAAGGCTGCCCAAATCATTGAAGTGCCATCGCTGGAAGATGCTGCAACTGCTTCACAACTCACTCACATCAACCGAAACCAACCCGCTGTCGGTGTTCCAGCATTGGCCGCTGGTGCTGCTCTCACCTTGTTGACATGCTTTGTTTTGGTAGTCACTACGTTCTCTGCTGAGCCAATCACGGCTTTACCACAGTCGCGAACCTCCTTCAGGTTTGGTGACTGGCACAAGTGGAAATCCATTGCACTTGAACAAATTCCGCGACAAGGCGGCGAAACATCTCGAAGAGAAGAACAAGTTGCATGGAAGTGGCGCTGCAGTTAGGGCGACTCCGAATCCTAGAGGTTTGTTTTCTTCTGTTCCTGCTATGTCCGGTTTTGCTTGTGCTGTTCTGCAAAATTATCTCCTCATTCACCTGCTAAAATTGTGTTTACTGTTGGATTGAGCTGTTTGCCTGTTAGATTTTGAGCATCGCATCAAAAGACCCATGGTCGACAACCTCATCTTTTCCTAAATCTTTGCCTTCGGCCCATCCTAAACCCCCAAAACCCCCCAAGACCTTTTCCCCACCCTTTCGGTCGCGAAGGAAAACTTAATTCCGCTAGGGTAACCTACAGGCCTCACAGAGCCAAACTGCCAAGCCTCAACATCTGCATCCTGAAAATGAGGCCACTACCGCGCATTTGTGATAGCACACACGTTGAACACACCTTGCTGGCTGTGTACCGCAAGCGTCCCCTGCACACAAGTATAAGTAGCTGCTTTAGCTGCAACAAGCCTACTCCCGAAACCCGAAGTGGCCGAATATAACTTGACGGTTCAATAACATCCCCCATCCCCTGAAGCATTTTTCTCATTTCGGAGCAGCGAGGCCGAGCCAGTGCGGGGTCCGTATCAGGGACAGGGTGAGTCGGGAGACGAAGGAAATCCAGGAGAGGGCAAAGATGAAACAGCCGATGCCCTCTCTCGGAATCGACTGGTCAACCAATTCTTAAACATTCATCGGCAGTTTCCTCCGTCCCACCACCAACCTTTACGGTCTTGCATACCGACACAGGTCTGTGGGAGGTCTTCAACCCTGTGCTTGATGGAGCGTTGTTCAGTGCACATCTCGAGAGACCAGAATGCTAGCCTGTCATGGGCGAGAAGAGTTTAACCCGAGACATGTTCTGAGACTGGGAGGAAGAATCATGAGGTAAGAAGGATAGGGGTGGGCATCTTGTTATGGAGTCTATAGGAATTAAGACCGCACAAACCCGAGTCGTGGGGATCGTTGCAGTTCGTTGTGCACATCCAGCTCCTGCTGACCGTCTGGGGTTCCGGGTTCGGGCT